CTATCTACATCAAAATTAAATTATCGTATCTTCTTGACCTTCTATCTACATCTTATCTAGCTATTCTTTAGCTTTTTGTGTTAACGTCAACACATTGTTAATGTAATTTTGTACAAATGTAAGGTTAGTAAACGTAGCTTGGAAAACGGTCACGTCTCTACTACGAATGCATTGTACAAAGTGCGGCGACTATGCGAACGTTGTGCAAAGTGAGAACTCAGCCATTTTGGGAACAAAAAGAATTCTATTTCTAGTTTCAAAAATAGAAATGTTACAAAGTGGTTTTTAAAATATAACTTTGAGATAAAACACGAGGAAAAGGTTTGTCTTATTTAATAATATACAAATGTTATAAACTGGTAGAAATTGGATTCCGAAGTAGCCACTTCTGATTGCCCTTTCAGGAAAAAAGCCCTTCCTATAAGGATGACGAGACTAGAACATTGCATTGACTTCAAAATCAAAACATTATCATTTTGAAAACATAAACATAACATTATCATCAACATAACATCACGCCTTTCTTCCCCGAAGGGGTAGTCAGAGGTCCACATTATGCCACTGTACCATATAACACACATTTTTCACTATTTTATGTTATGAATCCCATCTAATAGGGGGTGAGTTTATTGCCATATACCGGACACAATTTCAGACTCCGTGCTACCACTGAGAATTTTTATTAAACCCAGTAGGTAATACTTTGCCCGACCCAGGAATCGAACCCGAGACCTCTTACCCGGCAGTCGCACTTGCGACCACTCGGCCAACGAGGCAGTTAGTGAAAACATAAAAAGGGTAATAATTCGAATTTATAACTATCCATCTGTTTGTTAGAAACTAATCGCTCTCATGCACAAAGCCACTCTTCTCTAAAGGTCAATAACCCTACAAGAAAGCAAGAAACTCCGTTTTTTTGTAGACTCACTTTACACAAGTTCTAGTATTTGCCCGTAGAGAAATCAGAGTGCAAAGTTTAGCTTTAAAACTTGAAGCCGGTCTGCGATTCGATTCGGTACACCAAGTGGAACTGAACAGTCTTTACTTGTTCAGGTTCCACTACAAACTACAGTTAGTTATGTGGAATTGTGTGGTTAATTCTTGTGAACTATACCTAGAAGCCTTGGCCTAAGATAGAGTTTACATTGATGAAAACGAAACAAATGTATGGACTTTTTGGAGGCTTTTTTTTAGGGGGGAAAAGCATTGAATGACTTCCCCCGCCTGGCTGAGGTGGGAGGGAGTGTCAGGCTCTTACTGACTAAAAACCACCCCGTTCCTTCTCCTGCACTTTGAGCCGGAGCCCCGGTAACCCGTTAGGTTCTCCGCGAATTTTTTTGGGGGTTAGAGTGCTAATAATCGGGAATAGGCGACCATTCATGATAAAATCATTGTGTAGTCTGTAATTATATGGGAATCTTTTACTAAGTATTTGTCTATTGGTTCTCAAATATTTTACTTCTCAAAATCTAGCACCACTAAATAATGAAAAGTCATATCGTATCTGCCTCATTGGCCGAGTGGTTGCAAGTCGACTGCCGAGCAAGGGGTCTCGGGTATCGATTCCCGGGTCGGGCAAAGTATTACTGGTTTTTTTTTAAATCCCAGTAGTAGCACGGAATCTGGAAATGTGTCCGGTATATGGCAATAGGCTCACCCCTTATTACACATTCACTATTTATGCCACTGTACAGTGGCATTAAGTCCCGTAATATGCACCTCTGCCTACCCTTTCAGAGATAAAATGCGTGATGTTATGTTATGTCATATCGTATCGCAGTAATTTCAATTCAATTAATAAAAAATACCCGAAAATATTAAAAGAATTTTGGTCCTTAGCATTCCCCATTACTTTCCGTACCCCTGAAATGCCTAGGACTCAAATAACGACTCATTTAGGCATTCAACGGACGTCCTAAATTCCTCAATACAAGTCCCACTCATTTACGTCTCGGAACAATACAATACAATACAATACAATAAAAAAGGCCCTCAATTGTATTGTATCGGTATTGAAATGGTAAAATATTGCTACACTCCTAAATGTAGACTGTTTCAATACACAATTTCCACACGATAGCCTCGGGGTCTTTTCCGTCAAATAGCCCGTACCATTGAGTTTCTGGGCCACTATAAATAAAATGTGACTGGGTCGGTTGGTCGAGCAGTTAAGAGCGTGGCTGCCGACGAAGGAGGCTCTGGTTTTCTGAGTTAAAGTCACTACTTCTCTGGTGTTGGTGGTCAGATGATACGACTGCTCGTTTGCCTCCTATTCCATAAAAAAACGCATTTCTATCTTTAAATACCTTAATCACCATCGGTCAGGGCCTTGAGAAAACTGATTGACATATGTGAATCCTACGCTGGGACTCATGGGCTCATATATAATGCGACGAAGAGCGAACTTATGGTGTTCAAAGCAGGTAATAAACCTTATAACACAATCCCACCAGTTATGCTCTGTGGGAGACCTCTAAATAGAGTCGCTAATTTTAAATATCTGGGACATTGGGTCTCAGACGACTTGAAGGACAACGCTGACATTGAACGGGAGCGCAGGTCGTTGGCTGTCCGTTGTGGGATGTTGGCCCACAGGTTTGCACGCTGTACGGCTCAGGTAAAGGTGACGCTTTTCAAAGCCTACTGCCAATCCTTTTACACGTGCAGCCTGTGGGTGGACTTTACGCGGAGGGCATATGATGGCCTGCGCACCCAATATAACAACACGTTCCGGGTGTTGATGGGGCTGCCGCGATTTTGTAGCGCGTCCGGCATGTTTGCCGACGCCGATGTTGATAGTTTCGCTACCATCATGCGTAAGAGATGCGCATCTATGCTTCGCCGGGTTCGCGACAGCCCCAACACCATTCTCGGAGCGTTGGCTGAAAGGTGGGACTCTCCGATCTTGGGGCGGTGGATACGACTGCATGCAGTCAAGTAGACATCCCCAGGTTCGGCGAGCCTCATGCTCGTATAATATATGTACTAACACTAGTTTATAAGTTCATACTATTACTAACAATAATGTAGCTACATCAATAGTTTATAAGTTTGCATTGTCTGTCGTATATGGAATTAATTCTGAAATAAATGTTTATTATTATTATTATTATTATTAATTATTAATGTCTATTAACTACCATTGTCTATGTTTCAAATATTGCAATATACGGGACGGTGTGCTGTGACGTCACTGTGCAACGTTAATTTTCTATGAAAAGTGCAAGTCATCAGAATTTTAGACTGCTTATGATTTTACATAATTGAACTTTCGACAGTGATGATGAGTCTTACGGAATACAGGGTGAGCCATATTGATGACGGCACGGTTGGTGCGGCTGGGCAACCGGCTGCCACGCCACGTGTGGCGGGTTCGATTCCCGCACGCAGCAGCTCTTTGTGTGATCAACAAATTGTTATTCTGAGTCTGGGTGTCATATGTTTGTGAACTAGTATGTTTGTAAACGCACCCACGACACATGAGGAAACCCTTTTGTGGTGCAACGTTTAAAATATCCAGAATTATATTTCGAGATTCGTAAAATTCCAGCAATGGAGGCCGAGATCCCTTCAGAGTTCAGCAGTCACTTACAACTGTAACACCTCAACCACCAAGACAATAATAGACAATACTATTTCAATGAATTGTTATAAAAATTCATAAATTCACACATGAATGAATACAGGGAGAAGACAGTTCATTCTCGTGTCATTGTCACGTCAATGTAAATGAGACAGCTATTAAACGTATGTTTTATTATATTTCACCTTTATACAATGTGTACAAGATATTTTGTAACGAGAGATATATTTACATGTCATATAACATCGAACATATACACAATATAGTATATAATACACATATTTTTTTTGCCTATTCTATATATCATGTATGTTTTAATTTGAGAATCAAGTGAAAAGAATTAAATTAAACTGTGAACTTTAGTATTAATCACCTTGCATAACCTGTCGGGATCTGTTGCACTCTTTAATATATTATTCACTAAAATCTCAGAATCAAGATATGTGTAAAGAATGGATGACAGCAGAGTAACGAAAAAAGTATACAGAGCGGATGGGGCCGTCTGTAGAGGCCGTCCTAGATAGACATATACTGACCAGATTGGCGATATATTATAGAAGGGCCAAATTAAAAGTGCCCGTAACCTTTATATACCTATAACTAATTTCTTAACAAGAAGTTTAATAATATACCAACCTCAATATGAAACGTATGAAAACTAACATTTTCCTTTCTTTTTTGTTCTCAGTAATCGACTGCGTGGTATCGGGCTGGGGTCCATGGTCAGACTGCGACACAAACTGCGGCTCCGGCAGCATGGTGCGCAGCCGCCGCGTGGTACAGGCGCCTGCGCACGGTGGCCGACACTGCCCCTCATTGGTGCAGCGACGAGCCTGCCAGGAACATAGAGGCTGTTCTGCTGATAGCGACGTGCCGTTGAGAGGTGAGTGAAGATAGGTTTTTGTGGTTATCCAGGAGTTCATCATTATAATGTAGCTTTGTTTTAATGTAATAGAGAATTAGCCAGTATCAAATCTTTAGCTATCAAAATTTTGTATCTGTTTGCATCTGACCAACCACTATTGTCAACTGCTGATTAAAAGTATATTCTTCCAGATTAAATAGATGGAAACGACCAACTTGTTACTTATACTTTTGTCGTTGTGTTAACTCATATCCTTTACATTTTTTTATGGAATAAATAGGTCAACGAGCAGACGGATTACATGATAGTAAGCAATCGATGCCGGTCATGGACAGTCAAAGCACAAGAGGTTGTTACAAATGCGTTACCAGTCGTTTGGGGATTAGAAACTTGAGGATTGTTGGGGATTAAATAATTAGAAAATTGTCTTTACCAATTATAAATCGTCCTCTAAGAAAGTTATATTGAATTTTAATTATTTTTGTATGTTCTTAAACAGATGAGACTGCAATGTTGTTACCGGGTGGTTTGTCAGTGAGCCGCCATTCCAATGAGACGGTGGACATCCGCAAGAACTTGCGTCTACGTAACCCTGACGATCCTGAATCTAACTCCCATAGAGAGTGAGTATTTATATTATGATGTTTTTTATCCCCTCTTCCTTTTTTCTCCCCTTTTTTTATTCCGTCTTTTATCCCAAAAGGGGTAAGCAGAGGTGCACATTATGGCACTTAATACACTGTACAATGTTACACCTACTTTTCACTATTTATGTTATGACTCCCACGTAATTGTTATATACCGGACACAATTCCAGAGGCTGTGCTACTATTAAGAATTAAAAAAAAAACCCTCTAATACTTTGTCCGATCCGGGAATTGAACCCGAGACCCTTTGCTCGGCATTTGCGACCACTCAAGTTCAAGGGATAATATAAAAGCAATTAGGGATCCCTTATCATTATGTGTTATGAATAGATTCAGTATAAAAGGTCTATAAGACTAACCATTAAGGTTTTTAATGATCCCGTAAATAAAGTGAAAGATTTCAGGAATTCTAAAGCGTTCCTACTTTCTATAGATTCAATAAATGAATGATAGGCATTGAATTTAAAAGAAAATTGTAGAAAAAATATCGTTAAAATAAATGTGTTAAGGAATATTTTTTTGCTTATTTGCAACCAATTTGTTATGTGATTTGAATACTGTTTTAAATAAATAAATAATCGTTATTGTGGCGACACAAGTCACAAGTCAATGGATGACGTCATATAATCCTACATCGTACATGCGAAGTTTACATTCGATTTAACACGGATAGAAAATCCCAACGAACAACTGTTGGGCAGAAAGCCCGCCAGGCACGATCACCTCGCCTGGTCGGAGGATCCTCCTTTTCCGATCTTTAGTCTCTGTCAAAATGTTATCTTATTCAGCGATGTAGACTTAATACTAATACAGTTAGATGCCTGTACTAGGAAAGCCATGTATTACAGGGGAAAGTAGCTTGAACATTGTATTCTAATTTGGGACATTTATTTCTATAAACCAAATATCGTGGAGTCTTTCATTCTACATAGGTTAGATACAGAGTGTGGAAAGCGTATTTGAACCAAACATTCGAACTAGCACACAATATATCTATTATGTGGTAGGACAATGCAAGGAGATCAGTTTAGTCTGGACTGGTCGTCAATACATCTGAGCTGTTGACATGACTACAGGAAATTAGAAACTCCGTGCAGCTGTGTGGGCCATTGATCTGAATGCGTTTATAAAGTAGGATAGCTATTATGTTCCAAATTGTACTAGTAAGATCTTTTACGGCCATTTTCTATAACCTATCTATCTGTAGATTTCGTAGATTCTTAGAATCTGTAGATTTGCTTCTGATAGATAGATAGGTTATAGAAAATGGTTGTTAGTCTCTAAAGGGATAGGCAAAGGCATATCACAGGAAAATAAACTTAGGAAAATTATAAATTTCCGTAGGATTTAAAACGAGAGGCAAAATATATTATTCTCCTCCACCAATCAGAGAGCATCTGTCAACACCAATCAATCAGAGAGCAGTGTGTTACATTCAGTAATTTTTAAGGAACGTAAAATTAAAATCTCGTTTGTGACTGGTCGAAACGTTTGGTATCACATAACATAACATTACGCCTTTTATCCCCGAAGGGGTAGACCGAGGCGCACATTACAGTACTTAATGCGACTTTGAAATGAACACCCACGTTTAACTATTTATGTTATGAGTCCCGTGTAATAGGGGGTGAGCCTATTGTCATATACCGGACACAATTCCAGGCTCCGTGCTACTACAGACATTTTTTAAAAAACCTAGTAATACTTTGCCCGACCGGGCAATCGACCCCGAGATCCTTGCCCGGCAGTCGGACTAGCGACCACTCGGCCAACGAGGCTGTTTAGAATCTTACGAGTAGATATCCGTAAGTTTAAAAATTTACCACAAGGCGTCGCTATATAGGTTGCTTATGGGACGACGTGCTTCATCATTAAACGGCATATTCGTTTTTTTTTTCAGTGAGACATATTATATGACCCGTAACCTTAGGTAACCGAACCGTAGGTTTATACCTACTTTATGGGGAGATTATTACCATACGGGCACATGTCCCACTGAACATGTAGACATAATGTATGAGACACTTCTTGTAATCGTAATCACAACTTGAAACCTGACCTCCGCAATATTGTATTTTAAAAATATTTAATTGCAAGTTTTGCGAATATTGTAAATAATTAATTAATTTAATGAATTATACATACAAGATACGTTCGAAAAACAACAGTTATTTCAATCGGGTAACAATAGGTTGTTTTGCATATAAATAATACTAAGATTGTTATAGCAATAGTTTATTACGACAGTACAATTAAACAGTCTGTTGTCTAATATACAGGTTGTCCTGAAGTTCATCGTAAAAAATAACGTGATCTAGGGTGTTGATTTTCAAAACTTTTGAAGTAGTATTAATTTAAGAATGTCTCATGGGTGTTCGAAAATTATTTTTATTACAACTGGTACAACCTCGCCTCGCCTTGATGTCGAGTTTCGGGACATACTGTACAATGTATTACTTAATATTAATACTCTGTTTATTATGTAATTTGTCTTTAGCTTAATTTATTACGTGAAAGGTTGTAAGATGTGTCTGTCCAAGGGGCTTCTGGAGGATTTACAATCTTTTTAGAGTTCTTTTTATTCTTGAGACTCTTTTATTAGATCATTAGATCTCAAAATGAAAATAGGTATGATGACAGGGTATGAAAATTAAAAATGTAATTAGTCCGTCAGTTAGGTAATGAAAAAATGTTAGACACGTATTTTTTTATTTTGTTGTATAATAAAGGATACTTAGATATAACGAATCAAAGTTTAGGAGTGGGGCTAAAACGTCATTCCTACGTATAAAATGTACATAGAAAAGTGACATCACGCGACATTTCGAATTAATATATCTTCAAAACTATTCGTTTCCGTAAAAAAATAAAAAGTACGTGTCTAATGTTTTTAAATAATCTACCAGACGGACATTAAAATAAAAATTAGTTATCTACCCTATTAATTTCAAATTAACGGCAATTGATCAGCATTAATCAAGAACATATGAGTCGAAAATCGCATCGACAACTCAAAATACTCCTGCAAATTAATTTCCTGTGCGGCATCGAACCGACAATACAGCGATACGTCCAATAAATTTTATTTTTTACCCTTATAATTCATTTCTCCCTACTTTTGTACAGATACTGCGCCCAGTTCGAAGTCACCAAGGTGTCCAAAGCCTGCCACACAGACTCCGACTATAAAGCATTAAGAGAAGGTACGTTTTCCTTTGCATCTATTTCTAGGCGGAAAACAGAAAATAAGAAAACCAATTTTAGAATTTCCTTTGCTTGAGAACAAAGGTTGTAAAGTTTTCTTTCCTGAGTGCATTTTGATGTTTCACTATTGAATTAATAAATAGTTTTCCTGAAGCAAAGGAAATTGGAATAAGTTACAAAAATAGGTATTGCTTTGTTCAGGAAGCATTTGCATTCTACCTACCAGCGGCTTTCAGCGATTTTAATTCAACGTTAGATGAATTGGACCTACAAACATTTTACACTCTAAACACGGAGATAGAAAATGCTAGAAGAGAATATTTGACACTGTTTGTCTATAAAGTTTTATAATTTTTTAGGTATATTTTGCCATAAACGTTGAGAACATTATGTGTTTTATTTAAAGTTCTATTCGAGAAAAATACATTAGAATCTCAAGAAATGAATATATAAAAAAAGTTATTTCGTATATCGTGATTGTTATTCTTATTACAAACACATCACACCAGTATATATAATATGGAACAAAAATTTATGGGTTTTACAATTTATGGTTTCGAATGAGAATCTCCACCGCGACATGTGATGTGTCGCGTGTAGTAGTCGATTATCCGACCATTAGGCTATCCATCAAGTCAAAATATCTTCTAAAACTTTATTGTCTTTCCCCAGGAGCAACAGTCTGCGTGCTCTGTGAGACAGCAGCTCTTCGACGAGACCTAAAATGGCGTTGCAGTGGGCATGGCGTACCCGGCCACGCGACCCGCTTCTACGCCCTAGTAGCACCTCATTGCCACGGCAAGTGGGTGAAAGCTGCTCAAAATCCGGACAAAAGAAGCGACTGCTGCACGAATCCCGACTTTATATTCGTTTAAACGCTTTATAAGTTGTAAAATTTCCTATAACATGATTTATTCACACTTTTAATACGAGTTGATTTAAAGCATTTTTTTTAAATCGCTGCTTTAGTGAATGTTAGATTTCACATATCTTTGGTTGATTAATAAAAAACATACCTAAATAATACAGTAATAAGAGACATTTTAAATTGTTTCCATTGCGTTTTGTGACTATGCATACAATTTTCCACGGTACATTATAGTTAAGTAGTGTTTTATTTTTATCATTATATGAGTATTGTTTCATTGCATTTATTAATTTGTAAGAAAATGAATACTTATGGTTGCATTTACGTAATAAGACTTAAATAGCACATTAAAATATGTAAATACGAACACTGAATAGTTTTTACTTATGGATTTAATTGATAATGGAACAAAAGGTACTGTTACACATTTTTAAAATAGCTGCATGCTAAAAAGCGTTCGATTGAGCATGCTCAAAAAATTTCAAAAACGAACGCCTGTCTATTCGCTAGCATAGGTACCTGTGCCTTTAGCAAAACGCCACTTTGTCTACAGAGAGAGTAGAAAACGAAATGTATGAGGATGACACTGACAAGTGTCAAAATTTACGTCAATCCCGTATAATTTGGTTTTCTATTCTACAAGTAGACAAGCGCTAAATGGCATTTGGCTACAGCTGCTGAAATGAGCATGCTAACTTACATTTAACTGCAGCAACATTCCGACACAAACTAAGTGATGACAAGTGCTCAATTGAATCATGCTTTCATGATTAATTATTACGTTTTTTGGCTTACTTACATAATTATTTGACGAAGAACTCGACCAGTTTCGAGCCATGCTAGATGATGACCCACAACACGGAGAGAGTCGCCGCGTAAAAAAGGAATAAATAAGTATGTCCCACGAAAGATATATTATAAACACGTTTTCGTGTTGGAATTAATATGTGTAACAGTATTTTTAATTTGAAATCTGTGTAATTTAATTTTTGAGAATAATTGAATGAAATATCAAAAATCAAATTCATTAACTTCTGATCATCGACATATACTAATAGATATGCCGTACGCGTATAATCTACAATCAACGCGTATATCACAAAGAGTGAGAGAGATGGCCTATGCTTTCGGTCTAGCGCTATCTCTTTCTCGCTTATAACTTAACTACGGTACTATTTTGAGAGAGATAAAGATAGACCGAAACTTCGTTTCCTCTCTTTCTTTCGGAGTGCCACAATTCTCATCTCTAAGGCATGTCCATTCGTATTATGTCGATGCTTCTGAAAACCCACATATTGCTGGAACTCCAAAAACAAAATAGATCTGCATAAAAAATAGCTTCGGAAATTATATAGTTAATGTTTTCGCCGAAAATTCACATATAATTTTCAACTATCATTGTTTCGTAAGTCTAGTACTAATTTCGGTAATACTAATAAAATAGTGATTACTTAATGAATAATATTAGTTTGTGAATACATATCTTTAACGACTTTATGTACATAAATAATGTTAATAAACTCATTATGAAGTGAATTGGTGTATTTATTTTTATTTTAAAACTTCTATCGGTCATAACAAGAATAATAATCATATTTTACAGCTTACTATCATTATACGAGTTAACCTGACTAATTTTGAGTTCTACCGGGGCCCATAGTCATGACAGGCGTGACTGAATAATTTTTGGATTAATATATAAGGTAGCCAAACATAACATCATGCCTTTTTATCCTCGAAAGGGTAGGCAGAGGTGCACATTACGGCACTTAATGCCACTGTACAATGTAACACCCACTTTTTACTATTTATGTTAGGCTGGTTATAGTGTCGCACTGACCGCACGCTGACCGTCAGCGCTGACAGCCAAGATGTAGTAACTTCTAGGTAGCGTTTTTGAATGATGCGTGGCTATTAGCGCCCACGGTTCGCAGAAGTTCATATTTCTCGGCTGTCAGCGCTGACGGTCAGCGTGCGGTCAGCGCGACACTGAAATCAGCCTTATGAGTCCCATGTAATAGGGGTGAGTCTATTGCTATATACCGGGTACATTTCCAGACTCCGTGCTACTACTGAGATTTTTAAAACCTTAAAGTCGCTGTATTCTGCCTGTAATCAAGCGTGCAAATTATTATTTACACTAGCTGACCCGGCAAACATCGTATCGCCTCATACATTTTTGACTCGACTGATTTCTCGGCTTTTAAGCCTTTCCTGGACTCCCACAAACATATCAAGACTAAAATTAGCCAAAACGGTTCAGTCGTTCTCCAGTTTTAGCGAGACTGACAAAAGGAAATTCATTTTTATTTAACTGTATATAATTACAATATTTTTTATTTTATAAACATTTTTTAAATATACAAATAAACTGTGAGTGAGTAAGCTGTTACATAATAATTATTAATTTAGTATATCTTGTCACATTAATTCAGTTTCGTATGTGTGGTCACGTTTCCCCCCTCGGTTCGTCCCCTAAGGGGTGCATCTCATCGCTTGGGCTGTCTCATAAGATGCGTAAGTACTTAACGATACTGCGTGCAAATTGAGATAAAATTGGAAGTGTAAACAATGGTTGAATATAGAATTTTGTGGAATATTTTTGTATTTTTATGAGTAAACATGGGTGTGTACTTCTTTTTATAATGCAGTCGGGTAGAGATTGTGGTAATATGAAATATCCATGTCCATCGCACACCTAACAAGCAAGGTGCCGACACGACTTCAAAATAGCAATTACCTTGCTATATAAATATGAACTTTAAATCGTATGTCGTATGACATATTTCAAACCTGTAAGAGCGCCGGCCATGCTTACAACCTTTTTGTGCTGTTTCCAAAGCAATAAACGCCGTGCCTGAGCCGTGCCGGAGTCGTGCTGGATAGGTGTGGGATCACCTTTAACAGATACATAATTTTAATTGCGTTTTAGGTGTTCACCTGTTATCTAGGATCTAATTTAGCTGGAGTTACTACCGAGTAACGAGTAAAATGGACTTCAATTCCCTGTTCCAGTAAAACTTTATTGTACCATTCATTTATCAAATTTTCGTTCGTGTAGGATTTAGTTGGAATTTGCTTGGTATTCTAATAAGAATCTGTAATATCTTTCCTACAAAAATTCTCCAGCAACTATTTTCGCTCCTACTATCATAATATCTAAAGGTATTTTAAACCGAACGGTACAAGAAATGAGTACCTAATAGTATTTGAGCTCAAAACAATAAAAAAGGGTTCCCCAAATCGAGCCCTTCAACTTTGAAGGACAGATTTTTTCAGTAAATGGATCAAGTAAGTTAGTAGGGTTTCAGGAAGTTACAGAACTGTAGACGTGAAAGAATTCTTATAGGGATTTTTGGACTTGTACCTATATCAATCTTTGTCTCGTAATTTTTACAACTTGGTCGTCCCTGTACCTATCTAAGTACCTATCTTTTTTATGGCATAAGACGGTAAACGGGCTGACGGATCACCTGATGGTAAGCAATCGGCGTCGCCCATGGACATCTGAAACGTCAAGGCATTCTTCAAGAAAATCTCCGCTCCGCTTTAGTGGAAAGGGACTAGCGAGCTAGTGTAAAAATTCATACATTTTCGGAAGCGGCGCGTGGTAGCGGTGCGAGGTAGCTGTGCGAGATGGCGGAGTGAGGCAGCCGAATGAGCTGGCGGCGGGAAAGCGGTCTCGGGAGCAGAGCAGGGCTATGGGATTTTGGGATAGTATAGTATATCGCTGAAGTTTGACAGTCCATTACTCCCCTCAGGAATACTCGCTGGCTCCGCACCGTTTCCTCGCTCTGCCATAATGGACAGACACAGTACGTAACTCTCCGTGTCAATGGACAGGCAGCCTAAATTGGAGCTTTGTCTGATACAAATCTCAAAATCTATAAGTACTTACCTAATTTAGTATATCTTACCAAGCCTATGTAATAGGACCTTCTAGGAAATCTCTATTGCCTTACTTCGTAATCACATAAGCGCCAAAACGCAAAACAACGAAAACAACAAAAAAGCAATAATAATAATAACTGAATTAATATAAGGACCCGATCTGCTTCGTCTAATATTTACGTTCTTCATTACTTGCTTGCAAAAGCTGATAGCGGAAAAAAAAACATTTGTTGCCAGCAAATAAAGAAATATAGCGTTATACCACAATGGGGTAGGCAGACTTAGTAGTCACTGAAGTGTGGTTACAAGTGTTCTCCGAATAATTGCTTAGATTTCAGGAAATAAGAAATGCTTTGGTTTTCCTTATAGTAGGTAAAAATAATATTATTTAAGGAATAATTCGGGATTATTGTATATGTCGTTTACGCCATTTTGTCCTTTTTGGTTAGGTTAGATATGGTATGATTATGTGGTTGCTATAATGACTGTTTAGTATTAGATTCGAATCCGGTTTTGACACCAATGCTATTACCTATTCGAATTTTGTATGTTTTAATTCTAGCCAGTTATGGACCCCGACTATATAGAGCGACCTTATTCCCATATTAACAAAATAATTCAAGCTATAATGTACTGTATACCACCAGTTTCAAAGCACAAATTGCTAAATACACAAAATATCACCTTGATGGAATATTAATGCAGGTGGTCTCCTTGGGAACCAGGATCGCCGACTATGCTAAATAAATGCTGAGTTAAAATTATCATTAATCATGGTGACTCTGATGGCTCGAGATTTTATGGTTCCTCGAAATCTTGCACAATTTGATCATATTGTTGAGTTTACTTTACTCTTTGGTATTAGAAACTTATTGGTTTTAAACCACATTAGATGTTAGAAACTCAGACGGCAGTGAAATTAAAGAATACAATCATTACAATGCACCCATCGAAATCAAATTACAAAATCAGGACTAGCTAAACCATAACTATTAATTGGAAAGAGAAACAACAATAGCACATAAATAGGCAAATTGACTTTCAAATAGATTAAAATTCCCTCAACATCAAATACGCCGTCTCAATAACTTCCGAGTTCCCGCCATCTTGACTTTTTCATTTCTCGAACCACAGATTAAAATTTCCCGCTACGCGATGACGTTCCTTTTTTTGTCTATGCTTCTAATAATATAATAATTAATATTATGGTAAAAGGTATGTAAGAATCATAGCAATTGGCGTTCCATAGTGTCTGCCTAACCCCATGAGAGACGAAGTTATGTATGTATGTTAGTACGTACATATGAATATGCATTGTCCTTGTTACTTCTTAAAGGGGTATTAAGAAGTGTATCTATGAGATTGCAAAAAAAAATTGATAAGAGTAACGATTGAGTTTTTTGCTCGATCTTCTCCATTCGGAACTACACTGTGGAATGCGCACCTAGCTTTACTGACGGACAGACTGACGGACAAATCCATTTTGGCTTTTCAAAAGTGCCTAATTATACTACTTTCACTATTTATGTTATGAAACAAATAATAAATGATTTGGTTTAATTCTTACATAGGTATTCAATTCTAATTTCTGATCAAAGGTCATCTACACCGTGAAATCTATTTCGCTTTCGTCCCAAAGTAAAATGGTTCTATCTTGGTCTGGTACCTACAGCAATAGCTTTACAAAGAAATAAAACGTTTAAAAGAAAAAATATATCTGGTGAAACATAGCAAAATGCAAACTTCGAAAGCGCATACGAACTCATAGTACATTATCAAAACATCACGTCATGTAATTCTCGATGAGATATTTCTCGTCGGGTGACACGTGCGATGCGAATAGTGCCTACAAATATACGTCTAGTATTTCATGTACGTATTTCCATATTTTTTATAACTAAAAAAATTACGTCTTAATTTTTTGGTTTCATTTTACTCTATACATCGAAAGGACTCCTTATGGCAAGTTGTTTCGCCGCGGTACGAAATCGAAATAGATTTCACGGTATATAACTTCTTTATGTTAATGACTAGACAATCTGACCTCCACGTCTATTTATTTATTTCTATTATATTCTATTTCTATTTTATTTAAAGTAATAATAACTTTGTAAGCAATATCGTCCGTCTAGTGGTAAGCAGAGTTCAACAAAACTTTGTTTATAACTCTTGTTGGTATTTACTCAACTGACTGTGAGGAAAGAAAGATATATTAATATGAGCAGAGTTAGTATTCCCCTTTGATATTTTGTAGTGGTGAATTGGTATTTTAACTTGTCGAGTACCGGTTTTGTAGACACAATTATAGAACAATAGATTGCGGTCACCGGTGACCGCTTGGTGTTTGACAGTTTAATAGCTATTAACTTAAATTAACAAAAATGTGAAGGTACGTGTTTTTGTTCCTTTATCTTTCTGGTAACGTTACAGACCAGCAAATGTATGGTATGATTTAAATTTCTATAAGTAGAAAGAGGCTACAAAATGATATTGACAACTTTTTTCTTCAACCAAACGAGTGAAATTTTCAGTCAACATCTGATTGTATAGGTCATTATTATGTATTGTGTATTTCAAGTACCTATACAGTATACTATGTCGCGGAGAACCTAACATGTTACCGGGGCTCCGGCTCGACGTGTAGGAGAAGGAACGGTGTGGTTATTAGTCAGTAAGAGTATGACACTCCCTCCCGCCTCACCCAGTTGGGAGCTGTCATTCGATGATTTTTCCCCCCCTTAAAAAAAATACAGTATACTATACTACAGTGTCAATTGAAATTAAGTAGCAACTTCGCAAGAAGTATGACTTATCTTTAATGAGTTATTATCAGTTAATAGTTATAGAAAAAATGTTCTACGATGTTTTGAAATCAATCGAATTTAATTTATTTTTTTACTAGCGACCCGCCCCGGCTTCGCACGGGTGCAATATGCATGTATTATACATACAAACCTTCCTTAAGATTCACTCTATCTATTAAAAAAAACCGCATCAAAATCCGTTGCGTAGTTTTGAAGATCTAAGCATACATACGGACATACAGCGAAAGCGACTTTGTTTTATACTATGTATTGATTCTATTTTATATGTATATTTGATGGGGCGACGTTTGATCATTATCTCACCTGGTGGTAAGCGATGATGCTGATTATTAGTAAAAAATAATTTGACCTATGTGTAATGTAACATTCACTCAAGCTACATCCATGGCTAAGGTACCGTAATGTACACCTCTGCCTACGCCTTCGGGGATAAAAGGCGTGATGTTATGTCAAGCTACATCTACTCAAATGACATGATAGTACATAACATAACATCACGCAGTTTATCCCCGAAGGGGTAGGCAGAGGTGCACATTATGCCACTTTACAATGTAACACCCACTTTTCACTATTTATGTTATGAGTCCCATGTAATAG